CGTGTAGGGGCCGACGCAGTCCCTGCTTGCTGTGGGCACTTGCCACATTGCATTTTGCCGCTTCACTTCATGGCGAGTTGGTGCAACAGGTCATGTTTGTGCGCATGCACAGGTCTATGGAGCAGCACGGCTTTAGGTTTTATGTTTGTACACATGCGCAATCTGTGCACATGCGCAGTTCGGAGTTTGTGCACATCCTATGGCGGCTTACAAAAAACATCCGGTTTGTGACAGGACGTGGACGGGCACCGGATGCCACGGGATACTAGCGCTCCTGTGATCATACACCTGCCTGTGCCCTGCGTTTTCCGGATACTAGTGCGCTTTCCCAGGTACTTTTTAACTCTGCATCTTTGGCAGGATGCCATGGGTTAGCCACGGGTGCACTACGCTTCCCAGATGTTGCGGTGTGATCGCACCCCAAAAATCCGCCCAGCGTTCGTGCCTTTCGCGTGGCAAATTCTCCGTGTGACCGGGGCCTTTATAATTATTCTTTAAACAATCATCTGGTTCTTGTGTACACTTACCCTGAGAACTCAAAGGGTTGAACTTGTGTTTTCCTGAGAGCTTCCAAGGAAGCTGATGGGCAGTAGCTTTGTGATGGACAAAACAAAATACTACTTTACAAAGAAAGTGGTTAAAATGTGGGATTTGAGGCCAAAAGATGTAGTGATGGCCACCAGAATAAACAGCTTTCAAAGGGGATTAGATAGATTCATGGAGGGAAGGACTGCTTCCGGTCGTCGACAAGAGCAGACACGAGCTACCTAGCAGCTCGTCTTTGCTTATTATTCCACATCGTCTTTAAGGGTCTTTCCAACGCCCTTCAAGGGTTCTTTCGGAGGAAGAGCTCTAGCAAAAAGCTTTCTTCAACTAACAAGCTGGAGTAGCTATTTAGGGTATCTTTCAAAAAATTGCTCTGGAAATATCACATTGATATAGAGTGCAGTCTGTAATGTCCTATCATTTCACTTAGTGAAGTGTGGAGTCTGTTGCCAAGAGAAAAGCCTCTTCCTCCAGCCCAAGCAGCATTTCTCTTGGGAAAAGACACTTTGGATACTTATCCACAACACCCAAAACGTGGCTTTCTCTTAGTGCATGGCAACCCATGGGTGCTTCTTTTATGAAATGTTTTTAGAAAATTTTAAAAGAATAACCCCCTGGACGAGAAATACAGGCTGCTTAACAAACTCCAGTTCATTGAGAAATGATGACTCGGTCTCCTTGCCACACCTTGAGGATGGATCCAACGAGGGTGTTGCCTGTAATGTTCTGAAAAGCAGATCTGCTCTCTTCTCTTCTTGTTATTATTAGACGGGCTCTGGAAACACAGGAAAGGTGAGAGAGGAAAAGCCCAACAGCCATTTGTCCAGGTATTTGGTTCTGCTGCTTCTCCGGAGCTTCAAGGCAACCACCACTCACAAACGGTGAGTCCATTTCTAATCAGATCAGCTCCCCTGACTTGCTCCCCTGTACCCCAGTGGCTTTGTGTTTTGCACTGAAAATATTTTTCAGTTGAACACATGTGAAACTGCCTTATACTGAATCTGACCCTTGCTATTCGTAAAGCCTCATCAGACAGCCACTTTGCTTTCTTGTATTTCTTTTTCTTTGGGATGGTGGTGATTGCTGCCTCCTGTACAATGTCACGAACCTCCGTCCATAGTTCTTCGGGCACTCTATCTATCAAATCTAGACCCCTGAATCTATTCTTCACCTCTACTGTATATTCATCAGGGATGTGATCTAGGTCAAACCTGAATGGCCTCGTGGTTTTCCCAACTTTCTTCAGTTTAAGTCTGAATTTTGCAATGAGTAGTCATGATCTGAGTCACAGTCAGCTCCAGGTCTTGTTTTAACTGACTGGATAGAGCTTCTCCATCTTTGTCTGCAAATTATATAGTCAATCTGATTTCGGTGTTGCCCATCTGGTGATGTCATTGGGAAGAGTCGCCTCTTAGGTTGTTGGAAAAGGGTGTTCGCTATGACCAGTGTGTTCTCTTGACAAAACTCTGTTAACCTTTGCCCTGCTTTATTTTGCTTTCCAAGGCCAAACTTGTCTGTTAATCCGGTTACCTTTTGACTTCCTACCTTAGCATTCCAGTCCCCTATGATGATGAGGACATCATTTTTTGGTGTTAGTTCTAGGAGGTGTTGTAGGTCTTCATAGAACCGGCCCATTTCAGCCTCTTCTGCATCAGTGGTTGGGGCATAGACTTGGATTACTGTGATGTCGAATGGTGTGCCTTGGAATCGGACTGAAATCATTCTGTCATTTTTGAGATTGTATCCCAGTACTGACTTTTGCACTCTCTTGTTGGCTATAAAGGCCACACCATTTTTTCTACCAAGTGTGATCCACTGGAGAAGGAAATGGCAACCCACTCCAGTATCTTTGCCAAGAAAACCCCATGGACAGGAGACCAGCCTAGCCTCCTTTTTTTTTTTTTTGCCCACCAGTCTCAAAATGCAGGAGGAGGATCCTGCTAGGGATGGTTTTGCATTTCTTCTTCCTTCTGTTTTAGCCCCCAAATCCCCAATTTTGATTTGGACAAATTAATGTATGATTTTCTGGTCCTGTACCATTTCCCTTGCATCTTCCGTGTATAATGTATACATTTCTCAATCTGGGGGTGGGAATTGATATATGACATTGAATTTAGATTTTAATTTTTGAAAGAAGGTTACTTCAGAGGGAGAGGCGGGTTTGGGGGAGAGCCTGGAAAGTGACATCACAGGAAGAGGTGGGGTTTTGGTACAGTGTACTGGAAGCAGTGTTCCCTCTAAGCTGAGGTAGTATGAGCTAGCTCACAGTTTTTTAGCCTCTGGCTCACACATTTTTGTCTCAACTCAGGAAGGATGGCTCCAGTACAAACTAATTTATGCAGTAGCCAAATCACCTGCTCACGACTTTAATGCCAGTAGCTCACAAAGTAGAATTTTTGCTCACAGGACTCCACAGCTTAGAGGGAACATTGACTGGAAGTGACATCATTGAAAGAGGAAGTGACATCACTTGCCATTTGACCCAGTAGTGACATCACAGGAAGTGATGTCTCAAAAGTCTCCTGGCTCCACCACCAAAGTCTCCTGGCTCCACCCCCCAAAGTCCTCAGATATTTCCGAATTTGGACTTGGCAACCCTAGTTCCGGCACCTCTTTTTTTTTTTCCTTAAAGGGCAGGTGGAGCCCTGATCTCTACCCATAATATGAGTAACGCTTGCTCTTTTTGTAGGGTTGCACATGAAAAACAGCATCTGGCCATGGGTCCTGCCATGTTGCCATGTGTGTGTGTGTTACGTGCTGCCAAGTTGCATCCAACATATGGTGGTGACCCCATCAGGTTTTCAGGGCAAGAGACAAACAAAGATGGTTCTTTATTGTCCGCCTCTGCATAGCAACGCTAGACTTCCTTGGCCGTCTCCCATCCAAGTCCTAACCAGGGCTGACCCTGCTTAGCTTCCAAAATATGAGGAGACTGGTGCCAGCCTGGACCATCAAGCTCAGGGCAAAGGTGCCCTTAGCTAATGGAGACTGAAACACAATGTGCAATGTGGGGACAGACAAAGACCCTCCGGTCTTTTTGCTTGTGTTCTTCTTACAATTATACAGGCATGATTCTGAGTGTATAAGCAAATGGCCTCCAGCAGGACCAACCCCATTGATGTCCCTTTCCTGTGCTGCACCAGTGTAGTTCCAGAAGCAACATAATCGCCCTGGACCCACACTGTTAAATACTGGGTTCTAGTCACATTGTAAAGACCAGCTCTGGTTTATTAAGTGATTTCAGCAAGCTACAAGACAACTAGCGGGGCTTAAATTATGCTTATAAAGCATGCTCACACCACACCCAACACGCACCCACTCCCAGTGATAGGCTATTTACATTACACTACTGATCTATTGGTTAGCTCCAGGACCCTGGCGAGCTATTGTTCTAAAGTAGCGAGCTCAACCCGTTCCTGGTACAGCTTGAGGAATGCCTTAGTCTCAATACATAATACACACAGTGGAAACATGGGTAGGGATGAGCATCATGTCCCATGCCAGTCCAGCTCTGGAAACAGTGACACGTATGAGAAAGGCCTCCTCCGGTGATTGCTCTGGCATGCTCCAAAGTGGGCTCCAGGGACAGCTCTTTGCAGCCTGCCCTGGACTTGGGCAATGGTGGCATAGTTCTGGGAGATGACAATGCATGCAAATTATACCTGTTGCCCTTTGAAGAAGAAGAAAAGAAGAAGAGATTGGATATATACCCCACCCTTCGCTTGGAGTCTCAGAGCGGCTTACAAACTCCTTTCCCTTCCCTTCCTCACAACAGACACCCTGTGAGGTAGGTGGGGCTCAGAGAGCTCTTTCGAGAACTGCACTTTCAAGGGCAGCTCTTGTCAGAATTGTGGCTTGCCCAAGGTCATCCAGTAGCTGCAAGTGGAAGAGTGGGGAATCAAACTTAGTTCTCCCAGATTAGAGTCCATGCACTTAACCACTACATCAGACTTTATTGATGAGGTGCCCCTGAATGTCTGCTTGGGTTCTATGGGCAGCGAACCAGCTTTGGCCACAGGGAAGTAAAGTCCTGCCCTCTAAAAAAAAAAATGCCATTATCCATTACTCAGTGAAGGAAGCGGACAGTAAGAAAGTTGAGTCATCTGAAATGTGATGGAGAAGAGTTTTATGGAGACCGCAGACTGCCAAAAGGACAAATAAGTGGGTTCTAGACTAAATCAAGCCTAGAAGCTAAAAGGACTGAACTGAGGCTATCGTACTTTGGTCGCATTATGAGAAGATAAGAATCGCTGAGAAAGTGGAAGGCAGCAGGAGAGGAGGAAGACCCAGCCTGAGATGGATTGACTCAATCAAGGAAGCCACGAAGGCCCCCCGTTTGCAAGACTTGAGTGAGGCTGTTAGTGATAGAACCAGGGGTCGTTTTGTAGAAAAAGAGCTAGGGGAACTCATTAGCATATGCCACACCCCCTGACATCACCGGAAGTGTGTCATAAGGCCACACACCCCGCCCCCAATGGCCCTGGCCACCGCCAGCTTTGCAGCTCCACTGCCGGGCCCTCGAAGGCACCGCGAAGGCCCTCCCTGGCCCCAGGCAGGCAGGGGTGGGGAGAGGCAGGGAGGAAGCAACTTACCCTCCCTCTTCTCCTGCCTCCTCCTGGCTGAATGAGGGCCGGAAGCGGGGCGGCTGGAAGCAGGGGGCGGGGCTTCGTCATGTGCCCCGCCCCCTATACCTCACCTGGGGGAACTGCGATCTCCCGCGATCCCCCCGAAATGACCTCTGGATAGAACATTTGGGAGGTTATTAATTCATAGGGTCGCCATAAGTTGGGAGCAACTTGACAGTACTTAATATAGACACACAAAGGGCTCTTTTTGTAGGAGGAACTCCTTTGCCTATTAGGCGACACACCCCTAATGTAGCCAATCCCCCAAGAGCTTACAGTAGCCCCTGTAAGAAGAGCTTTCTAAGCTCTTGGAGGATTGGCTACATTAGGGGTGTGTTGCCTAATAGGCAAAGGAGTTCCTGCTACAAAAAGAACCCTCCACTGTAATGACCAAAAGCCTCTGCTCTGGATCTAGTTTCAGAGGTTAGCCATGTTGATTTTCAATGGAACAGCCAGATTTGAGTCCGGTAGCTACTTGGAGACTATAACAAGGGCTGATTCAGCATCCATCTGTTTCATCGGATTTTATGGTACCTTCTGCAAAGATTTATGGCCATGCAGGGGTGACTTTGCGGTCAGTATGGCATTGCCCCAGGGTGTCAGAATGTGATTTTGAGCTGCACCTTTTCCTTCCCCCGCTTCTGATTTGAAGGGAACAATAAGCAGACAATTTGACACAGCTTAATTGATCTCCATCAGTTCCCCCGCCCCTGTTTCCCCCCTCTGCATTTATCACCTCACCATGAATTACTTGGCTCAGGCGGCTAATGACTGCTGAGGCAAGTACTTACACAGGAAAGTCTGCATACCAATGCAGGAGCCAGCTTTGAAAACAAAATAGATGGCAAGCTGACACTAGCCAATGCAGAAATCAGGATCTGAGGCAATGCAATGAAAACAGATACTATTCCGAGGCAAGGGGGAACCAGGTTGAGTGCTGAGAAAATGTGAAGCAAATGGACCCATATTTTCAGGGTATAAGCTTATGAGAGTCCAAGCTCCTGTATCTGAAGAAGGGAGATCTGACTCTCAAAAACATATCCCCTCCAAATCATGTTGGTCTCTAGGGTCCTACTGGACTGGAATCTAGCTGCTATGGATCCAGTTTTCCACTGGTGGAGAAATACCCAAAAGTAAGTGGATTTTTCTACACTGTGTAATCCAGACTGACAAATGAAAAAGTGGAACATTATCTGGCAGGATGGATTAATAATCAGGATGATCTCCTTTGTTTTTCAGATCAACTGAATCATCAAAGCCCATGGGTCTTACCATCTCAAGAACATTTGTAGGAAAGGAACTGGATGAGCTGGAGGCTGCATCGGACCCAGGAAATGTCCCAGAGGTGGCAACCGAAATTCATCGAGAGTTGAGCTTATTTAAGAACACCATACTTGACATTGCCATCACAGGCGAACTGGGTTCAGGGAAATCGTCCCTTGTCAATGCCCTGCGGGGCATGACAGATTCTGAAGAGGGTGCAGCTGAGACTGGGGTAACACGAACAACAATGGAGGCAAAGGGATATCCACACCCCAGATTCCCTAAAATAACAATATGGGATCTCCCAGGAATTGGGATGCCTGAATTCGAACCAGAGGAATACCTCAATAAGGTAAACTTCAGCAGGTTTGACTTCTTCATCATTGTCGCTGCGGAACGCCTCACTGCCAATCACTCCCAGCTGGCCCGTAAAATTCAAGAGATGAAGAAGACGTTTTACTTTGTGCGTTCCAAAGTGGATCTAAGTATGAATTCTGAAAGGTGGAAACCAAATTTCAGTGAAAAGCAAACCCTTGAGAAGATAAGAAGATACTGCTGTGATAATTTGACAGAAGTACTAGAGACTGCTCCAAGTGTTTTCCTCATCTCTGCCTGGCACTTGGACAAGTATGATTTCTCCCTCCTGCAAGAGGCCCTAGAGAATGAAATGGAATATCTCAGGAAGCATGTCCTGATTCTGGCTTTACCCAGTTTCTCAAGAAAAATCCTAGAAAAGAACAAGGCTGCTTTGGAACGGGTTATTTGGAAAACAGCTCTCGTGTCTTGTGCTATCGGGGCTACCCCTGTCCCAGGTCTCTCTCTTTTTTATACCACTGCTATGTTGGTAACCACCCTGAAGCAGTTCTGCTTATCCTTTGGCTTGGATGAAGATTCCCTCAATAGACTTGCAAGCCGGGTTGACAAACCAGTGGAAATATTGAGAGCGGCTATCAAAAAGTCTCCTCTTGCTAGCGAGGTCACCGTACAATTTGTAATCAAAATCTTATGCAGGTCAATGTTGTGTTTGACTCTGTCGGCCGTAGAACTAGTCTTGGACCTTGCACCCTCCACGAGCTGTCTAGCCGGTGGAGGACTTTCTTTTGTAACCACTTTCTACCTCCTGAAGAGGTTTCTGCAGGATCTCGAGGGAGATGCTGAGAATGTTTTGGCAAAAGCAGCCGAGCCATAAAGCGTCCCATTTAAAGATCCAAAACATTCATCTGGAATGCCTGAGCCTAGCAACCAGTGGGAGAGTTGGGGGGACAAGAACATAGGAGGGCTTGTAATCGGCATTCCCTCTAACTTGAGTTGGTGTGAGCTAGCTCACACTTTTTTAGCCTCCGGTTCACACATTTTTGTCTTAGCTCAGGAAGGAGGGCTAATTTATGCAGTAGCCAAATACCTCACTCACAACTTTAACACCAGTAGCTCACAAAGCAGAATTTTTGCTCACATGACTCCACAGCTTAGAGGTTTCAGCTATGCTGCCATGATAGTTTAAGAGGCCATCGGCTTCCCTTTTCTGTGTACTAATTACTGCTGCATTCCTTCTGTGCTTCTTCTATGCTGTAACGCTGTTATCTCTAAGATGGGCAGGTGGCGTAGTGTCTGGAGCTGAGGGAATAACCGTGTGAGCGCTATCGGTTCCCAGCTTGCTTCTAACGGTCTGGAGCTTCTTCTCCTGCGTGCGGGAATGTGGCTAATTGGCCTATGATGGGGTGTCTGTGCATACGAATGCCCTATATCCCATTATGCTTGTAGGGGTGCCGCCATTCTTAAGAGTGCCTTTGTTAATGCATCTATAGCTCTTCAATAAAGTATAACCTTTTTGATAAGCGTGTACTACGTTGTTGGCTGTGGAACCTGACAAGAGGGAGCATTGCTTGTAACTGCTGAAGTCACCAAGATCATTACATCACTTCCAGGTAAAACCCAGGAGTGCCAATGGGTAGCTCAAGCAATCTCTGGAAACTCTGGTAAAACCATAGAGTTTCTGGGGATTCCTAGAGTTACCCTCTGTCACATCCGGATTTTACCTGGAAGTGACATAGCAACTTTTTTTGGAGCAGAGTTCCATACTACATTATGGAATTAGATATAATAAATATGCGTATAATACAGAACTCTGAGTGACCTTGGCCCAGTCACACACTCTCAGCCTATCCTACATCACAGGGTTGTTTTGAGTATAAATAGAGGGGGAAAGATGGAAGCTACGCTGGGTCCCCCTTTGGGGGAAGAAGGAAGAGCATAAATTAAGACTGCCATTTTAATATATCTTACTGTGTTTTAAATCCTTCATTATGTTTACTGCATTTTTGAGATGTTATTATACTTTAGAATCATTTATATGTATCCTCCCATTCCACAAAACAAAGTCGGAAGCCCTACATCAGCCTCAAGAGCCATGCCCCAACATAAAAGTCACTCTTGGCTCCTGAGGCTGGAGGAAAGCTTCAACCTATTTTATTATATTATATCGATGTGGTATATTTCCTTGTTTTAAACTTTCATGGTTATATTGGTTTTCTTGCTGGAAACAAATTTTATATACACTTGTTGTGACGGACAGGTTAGGTTCCACCTCTCCCTTAGAGTGAGCCATAGGAACTGATGTTGCTTGGTTGACCGTTGGAAAACAGCAAGAGAGCAGATGGGATTGGGCAGATGGGGAATTGAGAGGGAAAGGAGTGTGGCTGAATCTGCATTTGTCTTTCCCACCGGTGTCCCAGCCTTTTGACTCCGTCTTCAAAACAGCTGTCTACATTTGGGGTTGTTTTCACACCTCAAGAGTGCTAGCATACTTTTGCACATCCACATATGTTTATCATCCTTTCGGGGCAGCTCCACTGTCATTGCGCCTCTGCACTGCTTTAAAAGAATCTTCTCCAAACAACATTCAAACAAGCATAGAGAAACTAATTTAATTCAAACAGCAGCATGAAACTAATTTAAAAATGCAAATGTAGATTCAACCTGTGTCTGACTGAGTGAAACGGTGTGGCAGAGCTGCTTAATGCCGGCTGAGAAGAGTCCATTTGTAACAAAGGGTCCTACTTTCTTGAACAGGGGAGCAGTTCAAAAATTCACTGGAAGGAAAACGTTGTATTTACTTTGTGTTGTTATTTATTTATTTATTTATTTATTTAATTCCATTTCTACCCCGCCCTCCCCGCACGCAGGCTCAGGGCGGCTTACAAGGCACGTGCTATAAAACCAAATACATTAAAAACAGCATAAATTACAACTTACAAGATACATGGAGGACTAAAATACATTTTCTCCGTTACATGCCAGGAAGCGGTCTGGGGTTGAAATCAGAAGGGAGAGGGGCGGCCTATGCCGTGTTGTTCCAATTTCTCGTAGGCCTACCCTGACAGTCCAGCTTCCGTTATGGCCAATGGCTAAGACAATAAACGAAACTTGAATACTTGAATACTTGAAAACGTTGTAACTTCTACCTTACTTTCTTCAGTGTTATGCTCAAACCATAAATAAAAGTTAACTCAGCTGTTTAAATCTATGGGCTGAGTGCCTCAGGGAAAGAAAGACACACACACACACACACAGAAAAGTCTATCAGTCAGTCAATGTTTATTACAGTCAAAAACCAGCATAAGATCAAAACATCTCTTAAAGGTCTATGTATGTATTATAGGATATGAATAAATGGTGACAGCATATGAATGGAACTGTGTTTGATTCCCAACCCCAGTCACTCTCTGTGAGGGCCTGTTATTAAAGGCTCTGGGCCAGTGTTCCCTCTAAGCTGAGTTAGTGTGAGCTAGCTCACCGTTTTTTAGCCTCCAGCTCACATATTTTTGTCTTAGCTCAGGAAGGAGGGCTCCAGAACAAACTGATTTATGCAGTAGCCAAATCGCTCACTCACAACTTTAATGCCAGCAGCTCACAAAGTAGAATTTTTGATCACAAGACTCCACAGCTTAGAGGGAGCATTTAAACCTTTAAAAAAAAAATTAAATGTAAAACAATGAGGTGACATTTTCAGGTTAGGCTTCCGGAGACTGCCAAAATGGTTCACTACAGCATGAAAACAAAAAAATATTTTCAAAGCTTTAGGCTTTGGGGGCATTTTGGCAGTCTCTGGAAGCCTGGGGATGACAGGGAACTCAGTTGGGTACAATGCCATAGAGTCCACCTTCCAAAGCATCCATTTTTTCCAGGAGAACTAATCTCTTCTGTCTGAAAATGGGGTGTAATTCCAGAAGATCCCCAGGTCCAACCTGGAAGCTGGCATCCCTAGGAATCCACCTCACAGTCTATGAACTCTTAGGGACTCAGTTTGGTGTAGTGGTTAAGTACGTGGAATCTAAAATGGGAGAACTGGGTTTGATTCCCCACGCCTCCACTTGTAGCTGCTGGATGACCTTGGACAAGCCATAGTTCTGTCAGAGCTGTTCTCTCAAGGACAGTTCTGGAAAGAGCTCCCTCAGCCCCACCCACCTCACAGGGTGTCTGTTGTGGGGAGGGGAAGGGGAAGGAGTTTGTAAACCGCTCTGAGACTCTGAGTGAAGGGCGGGGTATAAATCCAATCTCCTCTTCCTCCTCCTCCTCCTCCTCCTCCTCTTCTTCCTCTTCTTCTTCTTCCTCTTCTTCTTCTTCCTCTTCTTCTTCTTCCTCTTCTTCTTCTTCCTCTTCTTCTTCTTCCTCTTCTTCTTCTTCCTCTTCTTCTTCTTCCTCTTCTTCTTCTTCCTCTTCTTCTTCTTCCTCTTCTTCTTCTTCCTCTTCTTCTTCTTCCTCTTCTTCTTCTTCCTCTTCTTCTTCTTCCTCTTCTTCTTCTTCCTCTTCTTCCCTCTTCTTCCTCCTCTTCTTCCTCCTCTTCTTCCTCCTCTTCTTCCTCCTCTTCTTCCTCCTCTTCTTCCTCCTCTTCTTCCTCCTCCTCCTCCTCCTCCCCCCCACTTGGTCACTTGCTGTGGCTTGGCTTGCTGTAAGGGGGGAGAACAGGATCTGCCTTCCCTCCCGTTCTGTTTTTCCTAGCAGAAAGGGCTGTGAGTGGCCTGTTTGCACCTTCCTCAGGCTCCATGTGCTGTCGATCACATGATCCCAGGACACATGGCGTCTGAAGAAGGGGCAACCAGGGCTCTCATGGCCATTTCCACTAGGTAAAGCAGCGTGGAATGGCAGCAGCAGGATGCTAGGGCAAAGAGAATGGAGGGAAAACTGCTGGGTTGACGTGACTCCATTCTCCAGTGGGAAGAAACACAGAAAATCTTTGCCATGTGGATGCTGCCACATTTGCTTGTCTTCTGTGCCAGAACTGAGGCCCTAATCCCAATTAGGTACTCACCCATGGGTGCTTTTAAATAAAATTAAAGACCTTGAGAGATACCAGACCCTTCCTTATCTTAGACCACTCACATGGTTATGCCTCCCTTCTCTCTCTCTCTCTGTGTCTCTCTCTGTGTCACAAACTTTTGTTCATAGGAAACCAACTCTGTCTGCTGCAGCAAACCTGCCTGCCTGTTTTTTATAGTTATACACACACACACACAAACTTCTGCATCTGTTCCTTCTCAGTGCCCAGTGCTTGTTCATTAGCACAAAGGCAATGATTGATGCGGGCACACCATGCTTGTGCAAACGTCATTACAGTTGTACAAAGTTTATTTAGGGGTACATGTATATCTTGCTTGAAAGCAATTGACACAAAAACAAAAGTTAGGATGACAGGACACAGGTAAATAGAACAGTACTGTAAGGTAAGGTTAGCAGGTCCCACCTGGCCACTAGCAGGGAATGGGGGGGGGGGAGTTTGGGTTGCCTGATCCAGGTTGAGAAACTCCTGGAGATTTGGGAGATGGAGGCTGGGAAGGACAGAGACCACAGTGGGGTACAATGCCATGGAGTCCACCCTCCGAAACATCCAGTTTCCCCAGGTGAAGTGATCTTGGTATTTAGGGATTAACAAGTGGAGACTTGTTAATGGTTATCCCATTCCTCAAACCTTTGCTTCCTCCCCTCTCCCCCTACCTCTCTCACACTCCTCCCTTCTGCTCCACCTTTTCTTACTCTCTGTCTCTCCTCCTCCTCCATGCTTGTTACTTCCTCTCTCTTTCTTCCCCCTTATCATTCTCTTTGTTTTCTTGCAGTTTCTCCCCCCCCACCCCATCCCTCTTTCTTTCTGCCCCATCAATCTCCCAGCCTCCTGCCTGCTTCCTCCCACACCCCACAGAGCAGCAGCAGTGGTGGTGGCAGTGCTCCCAACCACCCACCTGCTTCCCCCACAGCAGCAGTGGCAGCGCTCCAGGAATCACAAGGGATCTCCCAGCTACAGAAATCAATTCACCATAGGGCTGCCAGCTCCAGGTTGGGAAATCCCTGGAGATTTC